TTTGAAGGGAATTCTGCCATTCATCTACCTGATCCACAAAAGCTTAAGCCCACAGGAAAAAAAATTAAGGGGGAATTGAAGTATATGCAGCAGGATGGAGGGGGAGGGAGTCCTACAAGGGAATCGCTGCGTTTCATATGAGTAGATTTGCATTTATACTCCTTGGGTTTGTGCAAAGAGAGAAAAAATATAAAGAGCTCCAAGTCTAAAGTGCTGAATTCAGCCAAGGCAGATCCTCAGTGGAGGCAATGGCCTTAGCAGCTTGGCCCCGGGTGTTTTGCACCTGACTTAATATCTTTACTTCTGCTCTGCTTTGTTTTCAGTGCATATCACTTCTAAATCATCACTCTCGCAGTCTGATCAGGCATTAAAGCAAAGGGAAAGAAATATATGGTGTGTGATTTACCATTGTACGAAACCTAGCAATTTACAAAGGCTTGCAAGTGGGAGTTGTGTGAATCCGCACCATTGTAACGAAACTGATTTCTGTATTTTGAGGATGAGCTCTTTCCAGACACAATATTTGTAATCACTGCATAAGCATTCCTCTTCCCCCTTACATAATAGCAATAACAGGGCAGTTCTGTATATTTTTATCATTTGGTCTGAAAAGTCATTTCTGGAAGTTTTCTAACCATGTGTTTGATAGGGAAAAGATTCATGACAGGGAATAACAGAGCAAATGAAATAAGTCCACCAGGCAAGCTGGCACTGACATCCTGATGGATACGGCTTTAAACAAAGGAATTATAAGGTGGAAGGATGGTGCACAGAAGTTTCCAAGAGGCTTGCAACCAACTGGATGAAAGTAAAGAAGAAGACCAGAAGCTCGATTTGTCTGCGTTGGTTTAGCCACATCAGTACATGTGAAGGATGAGTCTGCTATAAGAGGACAGGATGTCATTTGCTATGGTGTTTATTAATGTTTTTTTTTGGTAAACAGCAAAAATATGGATTTCTCTCAGGGTTGAAGTGAATAGAAAAAGCCTAATAATGATCATTTTCAACCTCCTGGTTTATACAAATAACGAGATATACATTCTCCAGCAAACATTAATACACTCGCTATGTGTGGCTTTGCCCCTTCCTACCCCCTCTTTAGTTTCAGATACTGTATTGTATTTCTTCCGACATGTTGATTCTACCTAATGTTAAATGGTAATTGGCAGTAGTATAGGTGGGGAGAGAAACATTGTTATATTTTGTTCATTTTTCACACTTCAGCAGTTATCCCTTTCTCTCCCTGGCTGTACGCTTATTAGTGTATGAAATGCAGGTGTGTGGGAAATGGCAAGCACACATTGACAGGTTATTTTGTTGGCCACTGCCTAATTAGTAGCATAGTGGATGCACCCTGCTAAGCTTTAGTGTGGTGCAGTAGAGCTGGTCTGTTCTAATTTCCTCACAGCTTTGATATTCAGCAAGAGATTGACGGTTAGCACAAAGAGCCAAAGCGCGACGGAGGCCTGCAGAAACAATGGCCCTTCTTGCTTGTAGACACCACAGATGTGAGAGAAAGCTGACTAAAAACAATTGGCCGACACTGTCTAATTGTCTCCAATGTCAGCATCATTAATGTTTTCCCATGTAAAAAGTAAAAGGCCAAGGTTGTATCCTCCCTTTATTTTGAGTCACATGATTGTGTAACTTACTGAGATTCAGATTAAGTGTTAATTGTATTTGTGCAATAAAGAAACTGAAGCTACCTTGAATTTAATGAATATGTACTTAATTAATTTTGACAGCCTTTATCTTTATTACCTATTGAATAATCACAATCAGAATTAATAACATTTATAGGCAATTAAAATTACAGCCTATTTAATGATAATATATGTTTACATCTTTTGCTGAGATACAAATTATGAATACTTATTAGCAAAGAAGTTGTATCCCTGCCAGGAGGGTTTCTTCTCTGTGTTAACAGCAACAAACAACAATAATCAGTTCAATGTGTAATAGTGCCTTTCACATCAGACAATCTCCCAAAGCGCTGCACAAGGGCACATGAGAAAAGGCTGCGCAGAATTTAAAGGTAATCACTAAATGGCAAAAATTGTAGTGTGCCTGGAACAAACGCTGCAAAATTACACGTGGTTCAACAATATTTGAGCAGTTTCAAAGCTTTGTTTTCTTGCAGAAAAAAGAGTGACAATAAAAAGGCTTCATTGAAGGTGCAGCACCAAGCTCCTCGCTGACCCAGTGATACCAGACCAGAGCTTCCGTAGCTACAAGCCAGAGTTGTCTCCAGCATGGCTAAAATTCTTTTGGTCCCAAGACCTCATGTAGAAATCCTAATTCCTACTACTACACATGGAGAACAGACACAGCTCTGATTCTACCCGTGCCCACAAGAGCAAGCAGCTGGATGTGAAGTACAGTAAATCATACAAATAAAAGGGCATTAGAATGGTGAATCCTCTCTGCCACCATCCAAGAGCAGCAGGATTGTGCAAGTTAAAAGAAAAAGGACATGGGCTGTTCAAAGAAGGAAGAACCACTGGGCCTGGGGTTTGGCTGGTGTGACTTAAGCCACCAAATGCATCAGAGAGAACCAACTAGTGCATACGTCCACAGATGCTGCCTGTATCTGCATACACACTCACTGAATTAGTCTGCACAAGTTATTTCACTCTTTAAATGTCTATTTTCTTAACATCCCTCCCATACAGAGGACGGTAAGCCTTTGTTGCACCACACAGCCACTGTCCTCAGAGAGATGCACAACTTCCACTAAGTAGTAGGACTTTGCATTACCCACTTCAGGAGAGAATTGGGTCTGATACACGTGACCTATGAGAAATAACCAACTATCTCTTTAGACCTAAACAAGTGGCAAGTTTTAAGTCCCCATGAAGCCAGGATTCAAACCATGCATGTTCTAAGCTTTGCTTTCCCTTCCCAACCCTTTGTCCCCCCAACACCTCTCTTGGCTTTGCGGGGCAATGCTTCTTTCTCTTGCACTCCTGGCCCCAAATCATCAGGCACAGCCACTTGGAACACCTGTATCAGCAGAAGTGGTGGATTTAAACACCATGTGCCCAGTATCTCAGTGCATGAGAGAGGCAGAGGCACTGGGTGATACGTGGGTAAACAGTTATCTATCTATCTATCTATCTATCTATCTATCTATCTATCTATCTATCTATCAATCATCTTCTCTTATGTATTCAATGGCATCTCACCCCATCACATGGCTCATTGTGGGAATTTCCTAAATAAAGAGTTCCCTTAAAAATGATTAAAAAGGAAAAGCAGTTGTGGCATGCAGTTCCTTCCCTCCTATTTCTAACAAGGAAGCCTTTCTTCCACCTTCTAACCATATAGCAGTATAATCATTATAAATTGCCTGTGATAAAAGCACATGGCAGACCCTAAGTGATGTGTATCTTTGTGCCAGTCACTGGAAAGCCAAGGTATCTAATGACTCAGGATGGTCACCAGGAGTGAAAGAGGTATGGAAAAGGAGCTAGTGGGCTTCCAGGTGGATTTGCCTCTGCTAATTATTTCTGCCTAAGGCCACAGCATGCCTGGGAAATGCTGAGAGCCACCTCCATTGTAGCTTTAACATGGCCCATCAAGAGCAACCAGCCCTTAGTGAGCAGAAGGTATACCAGCCAGGCTCAAGCTGTTGGCCCCGGGGAGTGATTTCTCATTGGACTTCCTTTGTTTATCAATATAGATAGATCCTTTATAACAGCTTCTGAACTGGGAAGCTTTAAAAACCACCAGCAAGTGACTAACCTGGCTTAGACAAGCAGGTCACTGTGTCCCAAATAATCCCATCCCTGTCCACTTCGTGAAAAGCATGGAAAAATTCTGAAAAACAGAAAGAAGAAAAGGAGTAGTAAGAGACAGAGAGGCTGAGGGAAAAGGTAAAAAGGGAGATCTAGAAGTGGGACAGAGCAACGCTGTTCTTAGGTCATTGTGTTCCTCAACTGATGAGCATTGGACTCCTGAGGGAGTCTCTCAGGGCTGAGACCTGAGCTGTCCCAGCTGAGGCTACCAAGCAATTACTGGCTCCTAACTACACCTGTGGTCACCCTGCTGAGAGCTGTAGCTCTATTTAATGCAGCCCCACAAAGAGCAAGTCTTCTTGTGCTATTCACCTCAGTTTGGTTTGAATGCATCCCTGGTTTGTATCCTGTGTGCTTGGCTGATGGGCTGCTTTCTGCTTAACCTTGTATCACTGGTGTGTGTACCTTGCACTAAGTTTTGATATTAACTATGTGACTGGTTTGTTGCATCTTAGACTTTTATCCCAAATAAGCAGTTTTTGTCTATGAAACCTTTAGGAAATTTCTGTTGTTGACTTCTATGAACTTTTGTAGAACTAAGCTGCTGGGTACATAGAGCAAGAATTGCTTATATTATGAGGCTCCCTTTGGTCCTGTGTTTGGAGAATCAGATGGACTCTCTCATCTGAGCAGAGGTCCTGAGCAAGCAATGCCTTTCTGGAAACCAAGTATAAAGGAAAAAGATGGTACTTCATGCCATAGATCCTAATGAAACATAGGTGTATAAGCTTGTGCATTTAAGTTTTACTGCTCCTCTTAAAGCTTACTAGCTGTGATGGTCACTGTGCCTGTGTAGAGTGAATGGAACAAGTTGTATGTGAGTTAAGCTTGACTGCTAAGAAAGCAACTAATTGTGTGATGTGAAGGAGGAGGGGAGTGATACAAGTGACCAAAGAGCTAGAAGTCTGGGGAAGGGAGAGCCTTTGACACAGAGAGACCAAGAGAGCTTTGCTTACTTATCCTATCAAAATGAGCATGAAAAAGGGAAATTATACTCTTTATAAGCATGTAGGAAAAAGAGCCTTGAGGGAGTAAGGCTGCAAGGTTGATGCTATGTATAGTTAGTTAGATATTGCCTAATCTCTAGCATCTGAGTAGCCTTGAAATCAGAGTAAATGTGTCTACCTGGCCCTAAAAGGGAGCTTGATAAGTGTGTGAGATGATGCATGGGGCTTAACAGCACGTCCTCAATGTTCTGCTGGCTCACAGAGCTACTCCCTGAGCAGCAAAAGATCATGCCAGAGGTGTACAAAGAGCTTTGGTGCATGAGAAGGAGTTTTCCTCCTGTCCTGACTTCACAACCTGGATTGTAAAGGTAAACTGAGACCCAGAGATATAAAAGCTACAAATTAGATCTCTGAAGAAATGTGTACTGATTTTCACAAGGCTTAAGTAAAGTAGCACATCTGAGGACCTCTTACCATTTAAAAATGAGTCTTTATGACTGACTTCCAGGTAGGACTCCTGCCAACTTTCCTTTTGTGCAGGGAGACAGTAAATAACCAGTTACTGCTGGGCACTGACAAAACCCAAACAATACATTGCTTTATAATAGCTACTGTGTATGAAATCATTATGTTAACTTACAAAATCAATGTCTATATATTGTTATGCTATTTGTTAAGCTGTGGAGTGCAGAAACAGTCGTTTCACAAGCCTGAATGCCAGCTGCATTCTTTTTTCTTCAAATGCAAGATCCATCTCTTTAATCCCACAATTCATAAACTTCATTACACTGAAGACATTGACTTTTCCATCAGGCATAAGCAAGTGAATCACTCATCCCTTATGCAGCTGTGTTCTCTCACATCAGCTTCTCTCACCTTAGAAAAGTGTACTTGGTTGTATCTTATAGTTGAGAGCTCAAAGCCAGGTTGCTTCAATGTAGGGTTGAACACTGACCTTTTCGGCAATGCAAAGCAGGTGCAAGGAGGCTGTGCTACTCCATACCTACTCAGAAAATGCAAAATAGGCAGATGATGCCTGTAGCAGAAAGCAACATAGGATTTATGTGGATTTATGTGGGGGATTTATGTGTGGTGGATTTGTGATGGAATGATGGCCAAACATGAGACCTTGGCGATTGTGGAGTAAGCAGGACCTGCAGCTTCAATGCACTGATTCCAGCACAGCAGTGGGAGATGGCTTATGGAAGAGAGCTGCATAGCATTATTAGCCCAGGCAAGATATTTCTTCTTGCTGAAGAAGACACTCCAAATATGAAATCAAAGGATGCAGACTTAAAAACATCCTTTTCTCAGACACCACCTATTTTAGAAGTTCTTCCTTTAATCCTGGTTTGCATTACCAAATACGAGCTATTACCTTGGTTGTCTTTTCATAGAATCATAGAACAGTTAGGGTTGGAAAGGACCTTAAGATCATCAAGTTCCAAGCCCCCTGCCATGGGCAGGGACACCTCACACTAAACCATGCCACCCAAGGCTCTGTCCAACCTGGCCTTGATCACTGCCAGGGATGCACCATTCACAACTTCCCTGGGCAACCCATTCCAGTGCCTCACCACCCTAACAGGAAAGAATTTCCTCCTTATATCCAATCTAAACTTCCCCTGTTTAAGTTTTAACCCGTTACCCCTTGTCCTATCAATACAGTCCCTAATGAAGAGTCCCTCCCCAGCATCCCTATAGCCACCCTTCAGATACTGGAAGGCTGCTATGAGGTCTCCACGCAGCCTCCTCTTCTCCAGGCTGAACAGCCCCAACTTTCTCAGCCTATTTTCATACAGGAGGTGCTCCAGTCCCCTGACCATCAGTCCCTGATCATTTTCTTTGCAAAGGTTAAAATACTGGGCTTTGCAACTTCCAGGACGTTTTCTCTTCCTTGATGTGGCAGAGTAAGCAATGTGCTAATGGATGAGTTATTTGAAGTGAAGTTCTGCCCTTGCATTCCTCAAAGACATGCAGTGGCTACACAACATACCCTGTTATAGCCATGCCTGACAACAAAATGACAAAGAGTGAGCACGAAGGTGATGGTACAAAAAAAAAGTCAGGTTCTGTCTGAACCATATGTCTTCTGGGGGAAAAGCTCCCTTTTGGGTGCAAGACATTTTGAAGTTTGAAGAAGTCTTTCAGTTTCAGTATCTTCGCTTGTATTGGGAGGCTCTGAACTCCAGATGTTGCTACAGGATCCCTTTGCCCAAGTAGGAGCTGCTCCACCTAGTAAATCCTTTCTTCTAAAAACAGCTGTTTTACAATCTACAGATTACATGGCATTTCCTGCCAAAAATACAGACTTTAAGCCAGGTTTCAAAAGCCAATCCTCTGCAAGTACTCTCCTTATCTGTTTTCAGTGCCTATTTTATCTTTTCTTCATGGTGAGTTTTCACCTGAATGCTTGCTTTTTTTTTTTAACCTCATAAAAGGCAGTTTGAGTAAATGGTCCTGTTTCATCCATTGCTATGGTACCCATCAGGGGGATCAATAAATGAAGCAAATCCTTCTAGAAATAAGGAGGCCATGGAAAAAAAATATCGGTGAGTTTTGTAGTATCATTCACTCAGATAATGGCAGTCTGCAGTAATGCAGGCAAGAACAACAGTATCAACTTGTATTCCATTACGAACCAAGGTGTTAGCTTTGTTGCATGGTCTTGTTTTCAATTTTTTTATGACTTCCTGGTGGCTTTTAGTACTTTACATCTTCATTAGGGATTATAAAAGCAAAGATCTTTGCTTACATTTAAAATACTTTCTCAGGGCTGTGATGAAGCACAGTCAGTTGCTAATGGATTTCTGAATGCCTTTTTCATTATAATATTTTTATAAGACCCCTCTCTTCCTCTGTTATTACATTTGCTTTTGTAAAATGGTTGAGACTGCTCATCATGTACTTTAGGTCCTTTAAATATTGTTCCTGTTTACATTATGGGAGACGGTGTTTATATAAGAATAAAGCCATAATCCAGTTTGTATTTGGCAGATGACTGCATTTATGTAGCACCTACATTTATTCCCAAAATGGGTAATAGGCCATCCTCCTTCAGTGTGCGTCAGTCCTGCAGTTAACTTTGAACTATATACAGGTAATACTGGCTGAAGCATTAGTCAATGCAGTCTTTTTATTTGTAAGTGTCCAGGAATTCTATAATGCCATAAAGGTAAACTTGGGTGCATAAGGTAAGTGGTGTTATTTAGGGGAGTTGAAGTATCGACAGCTTGACCATCTCTAATATGACTAGTCTGACTATGAGTAAAGGGAGAATGAAGTGCTGCAGTGTTCACGCCCATGTAGAAACATGCTAAGAGGTGGCTCCTGTTTGGAGAGCTGCTAAGAAGCAGTTGTCTTAGTTAAAGCAGTTCTGGGTTGCTCCCTGTCCCTGCTGGTCTAGAAGCCGTGGTACAGGAATTGCCCTTTATTTAATGGATCAGACCATTGGCCTGACTCCAGTTCAGCAACTCTACCAGCTCAAAAGCCTTTCTGCTTTGATACAGCCATGCAGCTCATGGGATGGATCCTGAGAGCCCAAAGCTCCCTGATCTGTCCAATGGACAGGAGGTGGGAGCAACTCCATTACCACTGCTGGCGACTTGGCAAAAAGACATTTGACAACTTATTGGTGGCTCTTCCAATGTATCCAGTACCTCTCTCTTCACTTGAAAATACAGTGTTAGATTCTCTCCTGATCTATATCAAAACAAAGTGGGGAAAGCAGTTCTAGTGTCATGGTTTAAAACCAGTCAGGCAGCTCATTCACTCACTCCCCCCGCTTCTTGCCCTCCCCCTACTCCTGGAGGGATGGAGAGGAGAATCGAAAAGGATGCAACTCCCACGGGTTGAGATAAGAACAGTTTAGTAGCTACGGTATAACACAAATCACTGCTGCTACCACCAATAATGATAAGGGAAATAACAAGGGAAGAGAATACAACACTTCACCACCCACCGACCGATAACTTGCCCCCCCCAGCCCGTCCAAGCACCGACTGATACCTACCCTACCCTGCAGTCCTAGCCCTTCTGGGTAACTCTCTGTTACATCCCGGGCATGACGTGCTGTGGTATGGAATACCTCTTTGGCTAGATTGGGTCAGGTTCCTGTCTCTGCTTCCTCCCGGCCTCCCCTCCTCCCTGGCAGAGCATGAGATTCGCAAAGACCTTGGTCAGAGTAAACATTACTTAGCAACAACTAAAACCATCGGTGTTATCAGCTCTATTCCCAGGCTGAAAGTCAAAACCACAGCACTGCACCCGCTACTAAGAGGGAGAAAAAATTGACTGCTACTGCTGAACCCAGAACATCTAGTTACAATGCTAATATTGCAACAGCAGGGTCTCTGTCACCATTCTCTATTGCAGTCATCATTCTTGATGTAATTTCAGGGAAGGCAGAGCTGACTTTGTTCCCCGGATATAGTTTCTCAAGGTTTGTGTCACTAGTGATGCGCTCGTACCTTAAGTAAGAGCAATTTAAAATGAATGTGGTTCCTGTATGCTCAAAATACCAAGCAACCCTATGAAGAATGACTGTTGCGGATATTGGTAATGTTAAGATACAGACTTACTACAGAGCTTTTGCAGTATGTTTTTACTAGCGTGCTTCAGTTATTCCTGCCCTAGTATGTCAACAAGCTGACTTAGTGTCTCAAGATTTGCTCCAGTGGGTAGAAGTCAAGGAAAGAAAAGCAATTCTTGAGCTTGAGGAGCATTGTGTTCTGCCTTAATGCATCTTGTAACTGATCTGGTGGAAATGTTTCAGACCTATTAATCCTGAAAATCTTCTTTCAGTTCATCTGTATGATTTGTGCTTATAGCTCTCTTCTCCTGGAGCAATGATAATGCCTTATAGAATTTCTCCACAGTTAAAAGCAGATGCTACTCTTATGAGGGTGATGAGTCCCACATGTTTAATGTGCCAATGCAAGGACAAAAGGCCCAGAGCTGTGAGCCCAAGCGCTGCTGATATAGAAAAGGAGATGGAAAAACAGCAACACAGGCTGAGAAGGGACCTGGAAAATACCTGGTAAGTGCAATGTTTTCAGTCTGCTGAGCAGGTGGGAGAAATGAAGAGGGCAGAAAGGCAGGGGGAGACAAAGAACACATTAGGAGTCTGTTTTTTCCTAGGCTAAAGGTTGCCCACCTAGTTGAAATCTCATTCCTTCTGTGATCTGTTTGTTTGATATTCCCCCTTTCCTTGTTCATACATTTCTGCCCAACTTGTACTACTTGGCCATTTGTAGATACCTTGAATTTGATGTGGTCCCACTGAGGTAGCTGGTTTCATCCTACACATCAGAGAATCAGAAAGTGCTGGGTATTTCCTCTTGTATTCTTGATGGGAGGATGAACTTCTGATAGTTGGTTCTTAACCAACCAAATTCAAGACTAATACACATTTCAAAAGCATTACTGAGATACAAACTGTCCAGACACAAAGACAGAGCATTAGAAGCAGCAGAGCTGGGAATTTATAATTACTGAAAGTGAACTTAGTAGCTCTGGGTATGTAGAAATGTGCTCTGGTGAGACAGCATGAGAGAGGCGATTGAAATTCAAACTGTTCATCGTTAGGTTGCCAGCTCAGACTGGGTCAAATTTATTTGCTCATATATATAGCTTCTAGAAAGAGACAGAAAGATATTAGCATCTGTCAGCACTGGTAAATTGTATAAACGAGTTGTGGGTGGAACAATTTATAGTGTTTTTTGACTACAGTCCTTTGTTCTTCAGCAGAAAGGATAAGAATGGAGACTAAATCACCATCGGTGCATGCCAAGGTTTTTATCAGACCCGGATGGGCTTGAGGCTCATTACTAACTCTAATGCTTATGCCAGAGCCAGAACTAGAGGAGATCTCCTGGACCTGTGATGCCACATCTCTCCAGACAGGCAGCGATTCTCACCTCTGCAAGCTGCCTTCATTTCCAGACTCTTTCTGCCAATGGATTTGGTTGGAGGATCTGCCCTTACTTTCGTAAAATATAGATGGTTCCTTTTAAAAGTCGATTGTTATTTATGACAGGGTAGAACAGGCCGTTCAGCCGAGCTAGGCAAGCTGGACCACGTCCCATGCGATACACAATTGCCTGTGTTTTTTACTAACCACACCAGAATGCTGCCTTTACCAGTTTAATAAGCACATGCTAGTTAAACAGATGTAATTCTCGAGGCACTGTAGGAAGTAAAAATGTAAGAGTGGTTTCTGCCAAGCATTTGTTCCAAAGAAATCTGCTGTTCAATAAAGACTGCCTGTTCTTTGCCCTTCCGCTGCCTCCAGAGCGGCTCAGATCCTCAGAGTGTGTATGGGTTTGGTGGAGGGGAGAGTGGTTTCTTCAAAAGCTGATGTGGCCATTTCATTCAATGTGAGGACCCAGAGCCAGGGTGGAAGTGCTGGTGTGACATTTCTGCTACAAAGCCACGCTATACTGATGTCAACAGCTAGTCTGTAAATGTCTTGGAGCTGGTGGTATTGCACAAACCACAGGGATAACTCTCCTGCATCACATGAACAGTGCCATCGGCAAGGGCAACCTGTTTTCAGTGACAGCAGAGAACCAAGTGGCTCTGTATCTTCCCCTCTCAGAATGGGATGGAGCTGCTCAGACTTGTAGCTCTAATCCTGTCCTGAGACAGGAATGCGTGTTACAGCAGCCTGGGCTAATAGCAGGGATAAATGCCCCCTTTGCAGCCTTCCCTTTTCCCTTCCTTCCTCCCACACCTGCTGCTGTAAATTCCTGCTCCAGTGAAGAATTGTCAAGATTAGAGCCTTTGTTTAAAGCACTCACACTCAAATCTTTTCTTTGCAAAGTTCAGTGCCTAACCTGCCATACTCTAAAGGGTCGTTATTTTGTGTTTGTCTTATAATACCACCTAGAGGCCTTAGCTGACTTTGGGCTGGTAAACACTCAGTTTTCCCTGAAAATCACAGTCTTTAAGGCTTTTCTTTAACTGGTTGCTCCAGAAATGAAAGCCCCAGGAAGATGAGTCACAGTGGAGTTGTGGTGTTCTCTTCTTGGCAGACATCAGAGCAGTTTCTACTAGTAGTATTGGGTGGTGCAAACTTCTTGGAACAGGGATTGCTTTTTCTGCAGTGGTAACTTTGCAAATGTTCTGGTCCAGATGTGAGTTACTGCAAAAATAAGAGGGAATGTGGCCGTTGCATCACTCTGGCTACCCGTCCTCTATGGTTCAAACACTTTGGGAAGGCAACCTACCTGAGTATTAAGTTTGAAGGTATCTCATGTAAGTCCTTATAATGTCATAGACATGACACTAGGTCTGCTTTACAGTTAGTCTGAAGCCTGTTGTACTAGGTACTGAATTTTGATCCGCATGCATTTGCACATAGATCAGGCTGTGTCTTTGTAGGGAGTATCCAAAAATTAGTCAATAAAAGTATTTTTTTAAGGATTGTTCTATGGCCCTCTAATTGAGGACAGCCTTCTTTAAGGACATGATCACAAGCACTACACACCAACCAAACCTTCAGTGCCTGTAGCCTCTGGTGTTGGATATGAGACCATCCAGTGGGTGGTTTAAAGTCTTTCTTGTCAGTTTTCAGCAGCACTTAGCATCAGCACAGCCTGTTTGTGTCAACACCTTGGGATTCAGGCCTTAAATGAAAACAACCAGGGAAAGGAACATTGTCACTTTAGTTTCTTTATTTGAAGTGTAACATATTTAAGATCAAAGCTAACCTATTCTGTCTGAACTCCTCAGCAGGATTTCAGCTCAGGAATGCAAAAGCAGGATTATTATTCTATTGTTTGAAGTACCTCAGCTGGATTTCTGCGCATCTTCAAGTGGTTTATACTGCAGAAGAGTCATCTCCTGCTCTGGCACCTTTCCTCTAGTGTTTTGTTGAGTGCTGCTGTATGCAGCCTGCGATGATTTAGTTTAATACTTGGCCCTTTGTCTACAAAGACAAAGGAGGGGTGGTAAAGACATCCTCAGGGAGCCACAGGGTGAGCAGTGCAGTGGGCAGCACAGCCACCAGGCATCCTGGTGGGCTGTGTGACTCCAAATGCCCAATGACAAGCACAGGGATGTTGGTTGAATGTCTGATCCCCAGAGTTGTGCTCACCTGCTCTTGCCAGAGCTGGAATATGGGCTCGGAAATACTGCTTGTGTCACACTTTGCATATGCATTTTTTCTAAGTGTTTTCATCTTATCAGGAGATGCTTGGTACAGCCAATGCAAATTACGTACATATCCTCCTCCAGGAACAGAAGGAGAAGACAATAGAATAAGGGACTGGGTGTTTGCTTTGTCTTCTAGCTCAAAGTGTAAGTGGCTACCATAGCAATGTGAAGCAGATTTTAACATTTCTTCTTGTTTAGCAGATAATCAGCAATGGCAAATGTTGCTGTTTCACATTCAAGGCAGTGTGGGGAGCTGATGAAAGTAGGAGATGGAGACACCTTAGATAATGGCAGTAGAAAGCTCTGCTGTGAACATTGAGCTGGATGCTCCAAGTCACTTGAGCCTTACTTGGGTTCCAGCTTTTCAGTCCCTGCAGAGCAGGGACGTGACTCACAGGCCAGAGCTGCAAGTCTGAATGGGAGCGTGAACTCAAAACTATCCAGCACAAATCAGATCACAAACACCTCATTCGGATTTTCTCAGCTGAATGCATTTGGTGGGGAATAACACAAGATGGCTGTGCTGAAGGCTGCAATGTTATTCGGATGAGCAGCTTGCAGAATTTCTCTGCTCCTTTCTACCTTTTATCTTTGGGAATAGTGTTCTCAGTGAACCTTTTGGTTTATTAATGCTCATCATTATCTAAATTGCTTTTTGGCTTTCAGTTATCACTGCCTCTTCTTGTAGGCGGTGTTCATAGGAACTTCTTCCAAGGAGAGAAAAATGATGAGTAACCCTTTGTTTGCCTTTCCATCTCCTCTTGATTTTAATAAGACATGAAAGGCAAAAATCTGAGACATCTGTTGTTTCTTTCAGCCATTTCCACAGAGACATTAGATAGCATTTCAAGCACTCGACTGACAAAACAACTCACCTTGTGAGAACACTCTGATTTATTAAATTGTTGCACTGCATTGGTTTTGTACAATGTAGGAAATAACTGTTTTCTCTCAGACTTCCTACCTTTTTTGCATGACAGCAGTATTTTCACATAGTTTTAGGTGGTTTATTATATAAAAGTAATGATATGCTTGATATCTGAAATGTGGAGGAAGCTAGTTAAGATGCAATTAAGCCACAAAGTATAATCTTCTGATCAGACCCAGAGATGTGGTTAATGCACGATGTGCCATCTATTTTAACTAACAAGCATTAATGTAGAATCAGTATACAAATAAAAAGCACTGTCAGAGTGAGAATATGATACATACTACTTCTGGTGATGGAAATAGCATATATCCTCATTCAAAGGATAGAGTAAGCTTCGCTTGTTAAACCAGGGTGAAGCAATAATTTTAAAGTCAAGATAGTTACTGAAAGCAAATTTTAGTGTGGCAAGCAGGATTTTTACCCAAAATGCTCATTCTAAGGAGTTTTTGTATGACCTGTTTTGATAGGGAAGACTCAGTGGAGTGTTGGGGGTGGCCGAGGACTTGCAGAAATCACAGAATCCCAAATTGGTTTGGGTTGGAAGGGACCTTAAAGCTCATCCAGCTCCAACCCCCTGCCATGGGCAGGGACAACTTCCACTAGATCGGGTTGCCCAAAGCCCCATCCAGCCTGGCCTTCAGGCTCCAAGAGCAGGGAGTCCTTTTAAGTGTTAACAAACACTTTGGGTTAAGTTTAGTCCCAGTAAAACTCCATTGTGAAAAATCTTTCTCTGTCTTAATCATCCCTTTGAGTTTCTTGGAATTTCTAGTGCAGGATACTATTTCTTTTTCTCTGTTTATAGTATGTCTAGTAACAGTGCTTGGATGAGCTATAGGACAGGACTTGCCCTTGTAGTACAGCAGATCAGCAAAAGGAAGACTTCTGCAAAGGATGTATTTCTTTGGTATGTGATAATGAACAGTTGGGCGAGTGGGAAAAAGTTTGTATGATATTTTCATGGAAGTCAATTTGCTTACTCCTTGGTCTTTTTACTCCTGCCTTGTAGAAGGACTTCCAGAAATGCTGTTTAACCTGGTGAGAATCCTTATGACAACTTTGAGCTTTGTCTCTGTCCCTAAATTCCTACAAAGAGCCCAATTTTCTGCTGGCATGAATTGATAGAGCTCCACAGCACACAATAATGCCATGGTGATTTTTTTATCAGCAAAATACCTGGCATAATTATCTTAGTGTAGCAAGTGTGGTCAAGTGGTGTAATGTAATCCAACACCACCTAAAGAATTCATGTGACAGCTTTGTTTTGCAAGAAGGGAGTAGAAGGGCTTGTTGGAAGGAGAGTCCAAACGCCTTTTAATTCAAGGAACTAGCATCTGACCCTAATTATGTAGTGAAAATGGAGGTAGTGCAAGAACCAGTAAAAGGACAAGTCTGCAGCAAGAACAAAAGCAACAACTGCTGTTGAGCTGTATGCAAAGCTCAACTGAGAGAGACAAAGTGGCTCCACTTGCATGTAAATACTTGATGGAAAGTGTGGAGGAAGCAAGGCAATGGGTTATTTCTCATAAGCAGCAAAATTGCTTAATATAAGTGAAATGAATTGCCCTCCCTGTAGAAATTAATCATGAAGACAACTTTACAGAGCAGTGTAATAAAGATGTAGGCAAAATAACAATGGCATTGAATTCTAAAGCTAGGCATAATGAGCCATCTATTAACATGCTTATGATCAGTACCAAGAGACCTTGACTGCTGTATAGTAACATACTTAAGTTTCTAACTAACTGATTTTATGATCTAGTTTGATGTGATGTTAGTTGTTTATCAAAGAGCAAGGTCTAAAATAGAACTGGGAGCTCCAGGAATAACTTAGCAAGGAGTAATTTTGTATTCAGTGAAACTTCATTACATTTCAGTGTGTTCTTTCCCTAAGTTCTCTCCCATGATAAACATCTGTTGACACCAAAATCTGATTATGTCCATGCTTCATAATGAAATTAAGAGCACAGATACTTGCTCCTACATGGCTATTTTTTTTTTCACCTGATGTGACAGATCATCCCTAGGTGAAAAAAAAAAAAAAAGCTTCTTTGCTATTGTCATTTATCATCACCCAAAACATTGTAACTGTTTAAAGATAGAGACTATTGGGGGTAAATGCTCTTAAAAGTATTTGCAGGTGAGCAATATGCAGACCTGTTAACAGGAAATATATGGAGTTTCCAGAGTGCTGA